CCCGTTGTAATGGAAGGGTAACAAAGATAACAAAGATCACTGGTAGAAACAACGGCAAAAAAAAATAGTTAAGGAAGAAGCACGATACCGAAGAAAAAGACAGTTACTGATGCTGATAATAATAAACATGATCATAATGATGATGGTTAGGACAAAAACTCAAAACAACACAAAGAAGGTGATGATGATGACACTGAAAGTTTTCAGGAACAACCTTTGTAACTGCATCCATGTCATGCCACTTTTTCGCCAATTTTACAGGCAATTCTTTGAAAGGTATCCCCTTCTTAACGAATTTTTTGCTTTTCTTCTGCAAAAACATCACATAGGCTGGCGCTGGTCTCTTGGGAAGATCTGGAAACTGAAAAAAAAATGTTTTAATTGAGAACAACATTTTACTAGTGTACGCTCGGATTGGCCAACCTTAAAGAAACTCAACTGCAGTAATACCAAGAGCGAAAATGTATCAACTACTACGCACCAGTCCTAGCAATCAAACAAAAAAAAAAAATTAGTTTTAGTTTTAGTAAGAGTTTTACGACATTTGCAACACAATAAGGTCATATACATGCCGAAGAACAGAAGTGTTACAAGAGAGTAACATACGTCATAAAGAAGGAGGAGAGAAAAGGACGATAGATGTTTGATAGGAAAGAAGGAGCAAACCACACCAGAACGCCTGCCAACCACCCACAACAAAAAATTTTAATCTTGTCTGCTTAAAAATACCGACAGAGCATTTTACATCAGATCCAAAGAACAACAACCCAGACACTCGCTTGTATGTACGCAACCAGACTTGTGACGAAAACCTCAAACCCATTCAAAACTGTAGGAAATGAGGAAGCTTTCACACCCCCCCCCCCCTTTCAAATAAAGTCAAGGTCAAATAAGTGCCAAAGTTAAGAGTTGCTACAAAAAAATAACATACAAAAAAGAAATAAGGACAATAGACTTTTGCTACGAAAGAAGGAGCAAACCACACTAGAGCACCTACAAATGAACTGTTAGTAGACAATGACATTTCCCCCCGCCCAAGTACAAAAACTTACAGAAGACGGCTCGTTCTTTGCCGCTTGGGCATCCACAATGATTTCGGCCATAGTTCTGTATCGTCGCACCTGGAAAAACAACATCTCACTGAAATTAATATAAATAATTAACTAATTTCCGTAGGGTTTAAGTTTAAGCAAAAGAGTTTTATGGCATTTGAAACACAAATTGGATACACAAGTGCCAGAGAATACAGGCGTTACTACTGAGTAGCATATATAAAGTTTGATAGGAAAGGAACAAACAATAAGCCAGAGCATAGCACCCACCAACCACCCCCTTTCTGTAGAATGCAAAAGAAAAGCAAACTAAGGGTGCCAGCATCAAAGAAACAAATCATTTGCAATTATGCGACAGGAACTATTGAACCCTACAAGAGACTGGATCACTAGAGAAAAATGGCACCAAAAAAGACAGTACATACACGAATCACTTCACATAAATTTAGGCCAATGTTGGAACAAAAAACAAAAAACATTTTAAAAAAGATAATATCCGTTTCGAGTGATTTTATTTTGCTCCACCTTCATACTTCATTATAGTGCAAAGTTGAAGCTTTCATCTTGACTACATTTAATTTAACATTGGTCTTAGAGACTTAAAACACCGGCCAAAATTGTGGTTCCAGGTACCAAGTGCCTCAAAACATGTAGGTCGTAAGTGAGTTTAAAGAGCTGTCAGGGTGAAGAGCGACATCACAACAAAAAAAAAGATAGCATTTGCATAGCACGATTCCCGCTCAACAAAAAGCTCTATGCGCTTTAAAATCTTTCTTATTACCACAGCATACCTGATAGCATTCTGAATTCTGAAACAATTACAATCTCAACTTCCCGGGAAGCATGCAGCACAAGCTGCCACTTACCTATGCCGCTAAAACACTAACTTACTGACACGATCTTTTGCTGTCTATGGCCAGGTACCCATTTCAACTTTTAAGTAAAGTGCGTAAAATTAGTGTAAAGTGCCTTTCCCAAGGACACAACATCGGGGCTGCAACTCGAGCCCCCGAATCCACAACTTCACGAATACGAGTCCAGCAGCCTACCACTAGACTACCGACACACCAATCAAAAAGACAATCAGGTTATCTGCTGTCCATCAAAGACATCACAAACTCAGTCGGCCTACCTTACTCGTCACGTTCACAAACTCCTCTTTGCACTCCTCAGCCGTCCGTTCCCCGACCTCAATCTTCTCCCAGTCAAATGTTTTCAGAACGGAAGTGAACGACTTGCTCTCATCTTTTGTTAGCTTTAGGACACTGTCAAGGAGCTCCTGCCTTTCCTCATATGTCCACCCAGCTGAAAAATACAAGAACACATTTTTTTATTTCTTCATTGGGTTTTTTGGGAGGGGGCGGAGGGGGAGGGGTGCGTTTATTTAAAATATTTATTTTATAATCAAAGCTCATACAATTTTACAAGGGAGAAAAGGTGTGAGGCAGTCAGTTCCAAATAATCAAACAATAACGGCAGTATCCGGACATTGAAAATCATTCCGCTCCTGAGAACGCAAGCATACATGCGTGTGAGTGTGAGTGAACTAGCGCAACAGTTATGATTGTTTTTAAAAAAATAGACACCAGTTACAATGTTACAAAATAACCTAACCAGTCACTGTGCAAGGTAAATATTTTTTCGAAGTGGCTATTCGGACTCGAGTTCGAACAGCAACTGGATGCTATTCGGACTCAAATTCCAATGCGCGTGCACAATCACCGGTGGTACCGTAAGCGAGGTCTATACTCGAGTCTGAATAGTCTCCTGTGGCTATTCGGACTTTAAACTACTGGTAGGCTATTACACTGCGTTCCACGATTACAAAGGGATCAGAACATCATAAAATTCATAATCAGTCCTTATAAGATACCCCCCCCCCTTCTCTCTCTCTTTCTCTTACTTTTTCTCTCTCTCCATCTTACTTCCCCAGGCCCGCCCCACCAACTTCACCCCTTTTTTTTAGCATATATCTATTCCCTCCCATACCGTTGCCCATGCTCGGCCCTACTATTATCCTTTGTGAAGAAAAGACCACAGTTTGCACTGGGTCACCACGGTCGGCGCCCCATTTGTTGTAAGTTCCTTGGCCAGATCGTAGAAACCGAGGAAGGCTACGGTTGAATTGCTTGTCCGTTTCACACCCGGTACACCAAGTGATTGCGCACGCGAGTTTGAAACCGAATAAGCCACTGAAGGCTATTCAGACTCTGAAGAGCCTCCCGCGGCATCTAATCTAGATTCTAGATCCAGACCTAAAATCTATGTGTGTGCATGCATGCTGTGTGAAGGAAATTGCTGGTTGGGTGGGTGAGAGTTCACATCCCGGTCAATACTAGAATCTAGATCTAGACTCTAGATCTAGATTATCTGATCTAGATCTAGAATCTAGATCTAGATTCTAGATATCTAGAGATCTAGAATCTAGATCTAGAATCTAGATCTAGATCTAGATCTAGATCTAGATTATAGATCTAAATCTAGATCTAGATCTAAATCTAGATAGATCTAGAGAGATTTTCAAGAACTAGAATCTAGATCTAGATCTAGATCTAGATCTAGATCTAGATTATGGCCTTTCCTAGATTATAGATCTAGAGATTTAATTTAAATTGATTTACATTCAAGTTGGCCTTCTTCATGTGTGCTACAAAAACAAAAAGAATAGAAAAAGGGAAAGAATTGAAATTATAATCTAGATCTAGATCTAGAAAATCTAGATCTAGATCTAGATCTAGATCTAGAATCATTTCAAATTTTCACCGGCGAAAAGGGCGCAATTCTGTTCTCTCAAAACACAACATGACATGTGGTCTGCAGTGTGGAGTGCTCATAGATCTATCAAGATCTACAAAATCTAGATCTAGAATCTAGCTCTAGATAGAATCTATGTCTTTTCAGATAAGGGCAAGAACGCTAAACAATTTTTTTACACTACGTGACTTACCCATTGTTATTGTTTTCGTTATTATACGACTCCTTCAGCCTAGGTTTCGTTACTTATCCCACTACACACTAGTGATGGGCAGGTATCGATATTAGGTACTCGATACTTAGATACCTATAGGTATCGGTATCGGTATCGATACCTGCTCTAAACATCGATACCTATGTGTTATTTATCCCAGGCACTCAAAGCAAGTGACTTGGGCCCACAGAATTCTACACTTAGTGTAGAATTCTGTGCTTGGGCCTTGAGAATTTTTTGTTTATCAAAACTGATAAGTTTTCGTGTGGGGGGGGGGAGCATTTTAAATGAATCTAGTGATGTTTTAACAAAAAGAGAGAAGTTTTTCATGAAATCTATCTGGTGATTTTGCAAAATCCTCACTGACAACCCTGATTTATCCTCATTGGTTTAATTTAAAGTTGCTAGATCTGGTAAATTGAATTACCTTTTTAGAACTCTTGTGTTTTTATTTTCAAATTACTAACATTTTCTGCAAAGCTGACTTTCCTCCCATACTTCACTTAGTTTTTGTTTTTATTCTCATATTTGGGTATTTATTTCTCTCTCTCTCTCTTTTACAAATAATTTTTGTTTGAGTCTCAGCTAAATAGTCACAACTTGTCTAGACAAGATTATCTAAATACTTGGAAAAGTATAGTTGTACTTTTGTCTTTACCGGTACTTATTATCCCCGGCGTATGTTAGGCCTACCATAGCAAAATAGCATTAGGTATCGAGGTATCGCTATCGATACCTTTAAAAAGTACTAGGTATCGACATCGATACCTAAATTGTGGTATCAGCCCATCACTACTACACACTACACACCGCATGGGGGCAGTCAGTTTAGTATTATGACTAATCTGGACAACGCTCTGCTGCTGCTGTTTATATTTTTTCAGACGCTGACCTAAGAAATGATCCGGGTATCGCTGCGAATCATTGTCATTAATAAAATCTTTGTCGTGAATGCCAAAATATTCGTGTTTGATATTTTTCCGAATAAAAGACTTTTTCAACCACACAGAGGGATAAAAATAATAATAATAATAATATTATAAAGATTTAATTTCAAAACTTAATAAATCTTTTTCGTGTATCACGTTGGTGTTTGCGATGTAGGTCACCTGGATGTTTGTATTAATCATTTTAAATATTATTTTTAATTAGTCGGAAAAAAATTCTATTTTGAGGCGAGAGCAATTTCAGGCCGGTCGAACTACCAATACAAGGGCCTATGTGTGTTTTTATAATCATTGGTTCCAGGCTGTCTCTTGCAAAGCTAATTATTTTTCTTTACCCATTCTTGGGGGAGTGGGCGTTCTGCATGGGTTTTGTTGTTGCTATTTTGTTTTGTTTTTAATTTTTAGGAGGGAGGGGTGGGAGCTGATTTTTTAAATGTTGACTTTGTTTTCGGGTAGATCTAGGTTTTTTTTAGGGAGGATGACATTCATGTCAATTTTGTTAATCCGAGATTGAAATTAAGTTTTTCGGCTTGCATTTATGGGTATCTCAGCAAAATTGGTCTTGAATAATATGTATAGGTCATTTCTATAACACTTATTATACTCTAGCTCTACGGGAGATCTACAATAACTTTGTCTCCGAACAAAACACAAATAAATGAGAATGTTTACCTACGGTCTTTAGATGATGTTAACACTCATATAATGCAAACAATCATGCAACACGACAGCGTACAATTGATCACGATACCAGGTCTATTGTATTAAGGACTATTTTATAAGAATCTTTAAGAATCTACATCTCAGACGTAACCAAGACAAATACTCGAGCAGATTTTTCATCAACAACTGCATCCTAAACGACGCTAGGGGAAAATAAAGATAAAATAGACAAATAAGATTTCAACAACAAAAAAGTTGCATCAAAACAGATTAATCGAATATCAATACTCGATGTTATTCATTTATTCAGCAATCCAATTTGGAGAATTAACCCCAGATTTTTTCAAATGCCAAGTTCAAAATTTTAAAAAATTATATTTGGTTATGCTTTCGATGCATCCGCGTTTTTAAGTTCTTTGTGAAAGGCCTAGATCTAATCTGGTAGCTGTTTTTCAGAGAATTCCTTTGAAATATATCAACATAAAGACCATATTAGGTGAAGTATTCTCTTCGTTTGCTAGTAAAAGTGACTGGGCATCTATCCTGGTCACCGTTTTATTTCCACTACCGGTATCACAACCTGTAGACATGTCTATGATACATAAACCCGAAGTGTAAACCCCCCCCAAAAAAATAAGAAGAGGAAACGGGTACTGTAAAATAAGTAACGATTTGTGAACTGATACAAAAAATCCAGCAGCGTTGCGGCAATACTGGTCAAAGGGAAACAACCAAGAATAAACAAACATTAAAATAGTAATATAATGTGTTAGCTCCCTTGTTCACAAGTTGTTGTTTTTCTTGGGGGGGGGGGGGGGGGTGGAACGCGCATACTCTCCTTTCATCAATTAATCTGAAATTATATATGATATGATAATTATATATGGTATGATAAACGCCTCTTGCAGCACTGTAACGTTGTTTAAGAGGCAGAACCTCAGCATTTAATGTCCATCTCCGATAGAACCGAGCCAAAAGGGGAAAATAGTATATTATGTAAAGTAGTGACTTCACTTTCCAAGGGTAACGACCCAATCAGCCTTGATTTAAAACAAAACTATCCAAGTTTGGTTCCGTCGGCTCTAACCTTTACGTTATATGCCGCCAGGCAAAGAAGGAGAGTAGGTGTGTGACTTGGGGTGGGTAGATGTTACCCTATCCATGTGAGCCCTGTGAGCCCACAGTACCGTGCAAGTAGTTAAGGTGATGTGGGTGGGAAATTTCGCCAGTGCCTGTGAACGTTCTCGGATCGAGTCATGGTGCTTCAGCCCAGAAACCTCATGAGTTGCCAGAGACCAGAGAGGCAAAGATTCTCTACTTGTAGAGAATCTTTGAGAGAGGTGCGGAATTACTTCGACCGCTTCCCTGATCGTACAGCCAACCAAGAAAAAAATGTTCCCTGATTTGTTGTTACATGCACGGGATCGGGTAACATTAGTTGATTGTGCTTATTACCAAGTTATTACATAGATGGGGGGGGGGGGGCTATGGGTAAAAAGAAGGGAAATGATTCAATCATTTATGTTTGTAATTGGTCAAATAGTACCTTGATCCTATGAGTTGCAAGCAGGAGTGGCAAAATAAAAAGTAAAATTGACTCATGACATTATCAGAGAGGATGGTAACTGCATGAGCACTTGGACTGTCTTGAAAGAGAAAGACGAGAGAGACAGAGAGACTGAGACAAGAGAGAGACAGCGTGTAGAGAGAGACAGACAGAGAGAGAGAGAGAAAGAGAGAGATGGGGAGGTGTCGAGAAAGAGTACCATCACACCTACCTCCACCCCCACCCGAAGAATAAAATATTATGTTTATTATATTATTTAATTTTCAAGTTAAAAAAATATTTTGTAATAACAATAAAGCAATTGGAAAGAGAGAAAACGAGGGGAAAAAAACAAGGACGAAAAGGTACAAAAACATAGCCTACTTTTGACTGCCAAATCTACTGTCGGAAAACAATTATGCGGGTTAATTCTGTTTTGTTAATATTTTAACTTTGTTCTTGTATTTGTGTTCTAACATAGATAAAAATCGGTTAAAAATGAAAGAACAGCTCATTAATAGGCTGAATCAAGAGTGTTTATCTGCACTTAGAATTTGATTTACCTCACCACCCTCTTCAATGACTGGAATGACTTGTGAAGTTCGAAAAATCTGGACAACGCGGTATGTTTTTCTATTTCAAAATGGCGTCGAAAAGGGTATTGTACCAACCGGCTCCGAAAGAGAATGTTGGTCATAAAAAGACGAGGAAACCTTTAGTTCAAGGACGACTTGCAATGGATGCAGGTGTTGAACGTAAAAGTGCTCCCCACCTTGTACAGGGCCGGGTAACCAACATCGGTGAGTAAAACCATACTTCGAGAAAGCCCTTCGATTCTCACAACAACGCCCGGGACTCGGTCTCTGCTGTGTGTGTGATGAATAGGCTGTTGTTGGTTGGGTTTTTTTGACATTCTGTAGATCTAGATCTAGATATAGATCTACTTTACTTGTCAGAAAGTTAGGCTACAAGAGCAAGTTAGAGCCAATAGTGTAGCAGACTATGCTGCTGCTACTAAACTGTGTCTACAGCCCAGGACATAGCTGTTTTGTAGCTAAATATTCAGCAGTTTGGACAGTTTGGTAAGTCGGTTACACACTTTACCCATTGAGTTTGAGACCCATTGCACCCGCGCTACGACTACGAGTATAGGCTACTAATAATATAGGTAGTGTCAATTGCCACCGAGTGACGCGGTGACAATTGACGCCGGCATCAGTGGTCACCGAGTAAATTGGAGCTCTTTTGCGTTGGTGAGTAGATCTATATATGAGCAATTACCAAAACGTGAGACTGTCTTGAGACTCAGTGGTGCAAAAAAAATTTTCTTACCAATTTGACTCTCTTTTCTGTCAGTCACAGATTGATATTTAGTGCTCATATTCCTAGAGTATCAGAGCAAGGAGATGTACGGTTTTGGAGATATGGGTCTATTGGTTTGGCAACTACTGTATTTCTTGTATGTAACAGTGATGACAAAAACAGATAAGCAGCAAGGCAAATTATAGACTTTAAATTCCATTTGTTTAGTAAACAAAGACTTTGTACACTATGAACTCCATTCATAATGGTAATATGAATGGCAAGCTTTGTAACAATGACGCAGTGCACAGAACATGTCATGATTGTTATGTACAAGAAAGGATACACATTGGACATTATCATTGACAACACATCACAATAGTGAAAGGCTGTACAAATACAGTTATCAAAGCCTCAGTACCAGAAAAACACATGTGTAAAACAATTTTTTAACTAATATGAGGCAAAAGCACAAAATCAATGGAGCTGACTTGTACATAACAGTGATGACAAACATGACTTGTACATAACAATGATGACACAATGTACAGGAAAAGACAAAAATCTTGCCTCCAGAGATAAAAGCGCACTTTAAGAATTAAAAAAAAAACAGGAGAGGTTTCTATTGCTTTGAAACAGATACCAGGTCATATCAAAGACAGTGGACGATCACAATTATGTGGCTAATTATGACAAACAGTACTCGTACATAACAGTGATGACAAAACATACTGGGAAAAGGTAAAATCATGCCTACAAAGAACAAATTTGCACTAAGACATAACAATGATGACACAATGACACAATGTATTGGAAAAAGGTATATCATACCAACAAAGAACAAATGTGTATTTTTGAGTTAGGCAGATAAACAAGGACATGTTTGTTTATTTGTTTGAGTAGTAAAGAGAGCACACATTACTTTAAAAATGTTTGCTCTTAGGACAATGTAATGTCTTGTACGGCTGCATGACGACACCCCAAACGTCATCACTGAGCACAAAAGCTAAATCTATAACCACAGAAATGATCCATCTCTCGAAGTTTGTTCACACATCACACTCTTGTTCCAGGAATCCAGTGTAAACACCGCAATTTCACTAAAATATTCAACAGAGTAGCCTAAAAACACGCAAAACAGCCCAGTACGTCACATTCAACGCAAAATTCTTGTGCGTCACCGGACGCTGAAGGCAATGACTACTTTCGTTTTTCTGTTTCCCCCGTTGCTTCCGTTGTTCTGGAGACGCGGGTAAGGGGAAGTCACTCAAGAAAACAATTATATCCGGGCACTTTTGATGACCCGTTCAAAACAAAAGTGGGCGAAATTCGGACTTCCGGCACGTCGCAAATTGACGACAATAACGGCGAATGTTAAACAGCCGACCGAAATCGTAGATCTAGGAACCCGATGTTCCTTTCGCGCATCGCGGCTTTTGAAGTATTGAATAAACGACGATAGGCAAAGAGATTTAACCAGCTACGGTGATTCTACTGAAAAATAATGGTGTTTTCTTAAACACCTAGTCCGTGACGACACGACAGACGCACAAGTAATCCGAATTGTTCGTCTATTTGCAAACAAATAAACCGATTTCTTGAACAAGTTAACCTTTCTCAATGACAAATAACATAGGCACAGCGGTTATAGAGCGCCCATTTAGTTTTGGCTGGCGCGAGGCAAGCAAGCCCGCGCTTCCCCAGGTCACGGGGTCATTTACCTGCGCCGCCGGGGATTTCCCTAATCAGCCGAACACCGGCAGCGCTCTTGTATTTTTTGCAAAGTTTACCAGCACAGTGAGCCAAAGCTAATGTAAGATGAATATTTTAATAAAGACCACGTAAATATTCAACATATTAAGGAAGAAAATGAAGAAATCGGAAGAACATGGTACATTACACTTAAAAGCTGTGAAGTTCTCAAAAAGGGGACTTAATTTGATAAATGTGTCATGGGTAATCAATTATAAACATCGATTTAAATATGATTGCCCCCAACGAATTCAATCAAATTTGCACACAGGACTGAGAACATAATGAAATTTGTACTGACAAAGGGGCATATGCACGAAGTTTCTGGATCCGTAATTATTCAGGTTTGAAGTTGATTTTTGCAATACTCTTGCTTTGCGACCTTGTTTTTTCATAGCGATATCCACGATACATGTAACTACAGAACAGATCTTTTCTTGCCGATACACTTATGAAAACACAACCTAAACACAAAATACAAAAAGAACACAATATTGCTGGACTGGAGGAATTATCTCATTTTTCCGCTGTAAGCTTTCGTCTTTTGATGGGTGGTGCACACGACAGAGTAGCTCAGGGTGGGTTGGACGTGTTGTGACTGCATGATTGTTTTGACGTGTTTTTCTTTGTCTGTTAGGCCACGGTTGCATGAATGAGATCACCCCCTTGCTCACAATGGAAGGCCATTCCAAACCCACATTTTTGTATCCAAGGAACGCAGTGTTTCTCAAGGATGTGTTGTTTGGGGATGACCTTTTCTTTTGATCGATTTTGATTGAGTAGCACGTGTTTTACGGCACTATCGACTCAAGACCTTTTATTTGCCAAATATGTTTCTGTATAAAGACATATATCGTGTGATGCATGACTGAATATGTGGTATTCTCTCTAAAGTGATTGGCTTTCCATGTGCAATTACTGTGTGGATATCTTTGAAGGTGTCTTTTACGTGAACAAATTTCTCTCTCAGAACAATTAATGCGGTGTCTATTATGCTTTGATTTCCCGTACATGCAACTGTTCCTTTTGCTAAACATGATGCTAGCTGTCTGTACACATGGGCTGTGATGTATTTTTGGCAGTGGCTTCCTATAAATGAACGGCTGTGGTAGGCCTGTGGTGTGAGGTTGTGTTGTTTGAGGATGTTATCAAATTCAGAGCAGGCAGGACTTGACCTTGGAATAAGCTCCCCAAACTCTAACTCTGACAGCTGATCATGTACTCTAGAACCCTTCCTCTCAAATCTCTCTGCTTCTCGTGGATTATCCGACAAAATCTGACAGCCCTGTAACAATTGAATGTCCTCGTTTTTTTCCAGCCCTCTTTCATTTTTTGCCGTAGATATGCACATTTTGTCCTATTCCAGGCGTGCAATTCTCCATAGATTGATGGACCAGCTGTACATCTATATCATGTGCAGCCTCCTCAAGAAGGCGATGATGTTTGAGCACAATGCCCACCATATGATCATGTTGAGTGTGGCTCTCCATGACAAAAATATTGTTAAAATTGACAACGAAATTCAGATGTAGTAGAGGCAAGAAAACTAAAAACAGCAAGGATGAATGTTCAGAGTGGTGGGTTGGTATTTTTAAAAAATCACAGAAAATCATAGAATGACTTCGTGCATTTGAAACTTGCACATGTAAATGAAAATTGTCCCCACAGTTGATACATGAATTTCTGTTTAAATCGTTGGGGGCCGGATTGATATATCTAAATCCAAACTGAAAAAGATCTAAACATTGAAGATGCCAGTTTGAAAATCACAGACTTACTTAAATCCCTTGTAAAACTGATATAATCGGACTTACAAGAAAACAAGTTATACCGGCCTACAGGTCAAACATAGCACGTTACAATGAAATCTCAATCGGCCTTGTAGCATTTATAGTTTCAGAGTTAGGAGACTTTCAATTCGCACTAAAACGCCATATTTACTACTGCCCCGGCACAGGAGGAGTGACGCTGCGGTCACCCCAATTAACCCCTCTGACAAGTGATTTATGACTACGCGCTGGGCTGTCGGGCGGGGCGGGCAGGGTGGTGAGGATGGTCGGGGAGGAACTGGGGAAGGAAAACTAAGTGAGCGGTCTGGACGGTATTTTATCCGCTGTGTAGGATCAAAGCACACTTTAAAAAAACACACCCAAAAATACTAAATTTTGGACATTCTTGGTAGTTTGCATTGGTGTGCTCAAAATCATAAATGACACTCCAGGAATCACAAAAAAACGAACATTTTTGGCACAAAATTTACAAACTCAAGATTGTAAAGCTGACAAGGGGTCTGAAACTGCTAATGCAGGTTCTACATCCTATATTTGACGTGTGTATACGTTTTGGAGGAATAAATACTAATGCATCACATTTTATGCACACTAATGTGAGATGTGTGTGTTTTTCCCCACGTTTTGGCAATGGCTCATATGTGTGCTTGGTGTTCTGCGTTCTCGAACTTACGCTTACGCACACCTAGCTCTCTCATCTCTGTCCCTCTGTGAGTGTGTGTCGTGTATGGATGTGTGTGGGTCTCGCTCTTTCCCATTCCCCCCCCCGTATTTATGTTCCCCAGATATGAATTTCTGCTTAAGTTTGTGTGCATTTGTGGCCTTAATCTAGATCTTTTTCTTGAATCGCCTGTGTTGGTTCTACACCGAAGAGCAGGCTGAGGCTAGCCTACGTCTCATTCAAAACACGCCAAGTTGGTAGCTCTCTTGATGTTCGTCCAGTGAAATTAGTAGAGAACAAATTGACCCACTTAGACTTGAGGAGCTTGAAAGGATAGCCGGGGAACAAGATTTCCATTTTACTGTACAAAATCTTTCAAATGAGCTTGAATTTGCATGCAAAATATATTACTCTCGTTAAAAATAAATTTAGATCTATTGTTAGTTTTGATAACCATTGTGCGGGTAAAAAGAAGAATTTGAGTGCAAAGCATTCGGAAATTCTGTACTATTTGCTTTCGAACCCCGGAATATGTGTAACTACTCGTTATGACTTATTATCAACTTTTGAGAGGGGGTTAGATGTATTATGACTTATTCAGGTGTTCGTAACATATTATGAATAGTAATCTAAAGACAGAGCCAGCATTGTTTTCAGACTTGACACCGCTTCACTCGGTGGCAATTAACGCTACCAATAATATACTATATAATATAATACTGCCACTGTATGAGTGGACCAAACTTATAGACTTTCACTCAAAGGCAAATTAAGTTTTGTAGCAAATCAGGTCATCTGTTGAACCAATCTGGTGAGTAATTCAAGTCTGGAATCTTTTACATTTAAAGTAACAATACAGTGCAGCCTCTCATATAACAGCCTTCGATATAAAGTATAAAGACATCCTCTGTAAAGCGACATGGTGCCCAGGTCCCGATTTTTTCCTTATAGATCTAGATCTAAATATATATATCATTAGTAATATTTTGGTTGCCTCTCTAAAACATTTTTTCGGCTCCTGATGATGTAGTTTTTTATACATTGTTCTTCTGTTATATTCAAGTCATGTTTTATGCGAAATGGAGTGAAAAGGCATAGATCTTATTTACAAAATACATGAAACGAGTCTAATTTTATATAACTTCGACATTTTGACATGCATTCATTAGCTAGCAAAAAGAAATTTAATAATTTTTTAAAAACATTCAGGATATTGTTAAAATTGTTTTTGTTTTGTGCAGTATGTTTTATTTTTCATGCTAAGTTTCATCGATGTGTGGTGAATATGAAGGTCATTGATTTTTTTTTTTATGGTGCGAAAACACCTGACATTCTTCAGATGGTACGCCAAAAAGTGCCTGACAGCTGGTGCCTGGGAGTGACTTTTTTTCAGAAAAAAATATTTATTGGAAATTTAGGTGATCTGCATGCTGGTTGTTTTGTGTACCTCATTGTTTTTGAGAGACTTTCCCTCACTTGTGTCTTGCTCTTCGTCTGCAATGAATCGCAACTGTTTTCTTTTTGCTTTTCTTTACTCAGACAAAAAAATAATAAAACGCATCTTTTTTTAAATCTCATTTCTGCAGAAGAAAGTTTGGATCCCACCCTGAGTCCCCTCAAGTCCGTGCCGGTGCTGACAGAACACTCCTCGCCGCGGCCAGAACCTCCCTCTCAGTGCCTCGACCTCTCCGATGCCGATTTTGAGGCTAGCGTGACCTCTGCACTGCGGCAGTCGCAGCCAGTCATGGTCTTCGATGCCTCCCACCTGGGCAACTCCCCACACAGTCGAGAGGTGGAAGTGGTGGTCGCCTACGAGGACTCCCCAGCCCGTGTGGTCTGCCACAGCCCCCGCCATCTGGAACGTTCCGGGAGATCCTCCAGGAAAGGGTCAGCGTCGTCTGTGAAGAAAAGCCCCGTGTCGCTGAGCGACAACAGCGTGCCGCACTGGTCCGTGCCTGTCGACAGAGTGCCCAGGGTGGGTTCTGTGTCGAAGGATATCAACAGAAATCTCTTCCCTGGGGAAGGCAGTGAGAACGGTAGTGTGTTTAACAGTGGAATAGAAATGGAGACCCCGACTAAATTTGCCAGGTCCGTGGAGAATGAGGCATACATCTCACAGCACAGCCGAGGCATCATCCAGGAGATTTTAGCCCAGGAAATGGGCACCAGTAATTTGGATGCCATTTCTTTGCACAGCCAAGGGAGCTCACCTTCCCTCAGGCAGAAGTTGTCTCCCATGTCATCCTCCCCGACTGCGTCGTCAAGGAGAACGGTACCGCACACGTCCAGCCCATTGTCTCGTACTCCTCTCTCTCAGAGCAACCACAACAGTGTCCATCACCAGGGTCAGGAATCGGGGAGGAAAGTGGTGAAAATCTCCAACTACCCACAGCCCAAGTTTGACGATGACTCGGACACGTCGACCGACAGAGTCCCGGTCAAGGACGACAAAGAGCCTCGTGTCACAAAAACCTCAGCGACGGCGCAGTTCGAGCCGGACAACTCTGATTCGGAGACGTGCTCTCTTTACGAGTATGTTTCTCCCAGAGTAAAACCTGTGTCGAGTTCGGCTTCCAAGCAGTCGAAGACTGGGGAGAAACTGCAGAATGCTCCAGTTAATCCTCCCGGTTCTGTACGCAAGAAAAAACCAGTCCGCATGGTTCCATCTCGGTACATGCAAAGTGCGTCTCAGTACAGTAAGGCTAATCAGACGATTTCTTCCTCGAAAAACTCAACCTCCAGTGGGGATAATTCCATTCCTTCTGTTAAAAAAATGCAAAAACAAAAGTCCATCTTGGGTAAACCTCCTGGGAAACCCGTAAAACAAGAGAAAGGGGTTGTCATGAACAAACAGTCAACAAGGGGGGCTTCTTCAGCTCCTTTGAAAAATAATTCCTCAAAGCACGGGGGTATCTCTGCCGCAGGTAAAGAAAACAGGCAAGTGTCGTCAGCTGTCGTGGAAGCGTACGGCGAGTCAGAAAGTCCCAAAACTTTAGTCCGGGACACAGATCGTCCTGGTGGAGGCTCCCACAAGACGTCGACCCCCACACACGATCAGCTCGCCTCGCTGTCCCAAAGCATCGATGCGTCTGCGATACAGTCGGTCTCTGCTCTCTCCCTCAGCACCTGGGGCCCGGGAATGTCCATGCTGGAAGAAGAAACGAACGGCAGTGGAGCCGGCGGTCCCAAGTCGGGACAAACAGCAGGACGTCGGGCACAAAGTAAAACGGCTGTGACCTCAGAAAACGAGCCTTCAGAACGTGGTAGTAGGAACAAGCCGCTGTCCTCCCAAAACCTAGATTTGCTGTACTCGCGGTACATTCAGGGCCAGTTTCTCATCTCTCGAGTGAAGAAGCTGTTCAGAGAGCAGGAAGAGCGGGTGATGAAGCAGCTGGGCGGCTTGTGGCAGCTGTTGGAGGAGAAGAGGGAGGAGGTGTGTGGGCAGGAGCGAGAGCTGCACCGTCTGAGGACGCTCAACCTGCTGGACCAGACCCTGGGCGTGGGCAGAGAGCTGGGCTCCCTGGTGACCGCCATCCCACAACTGGACTCGGACTTCTCCCAGCTGGGCCAGGCGCTGGGGGCCACTCGCAACCAGCTGCCCACCCGAGACGTGTACTTCCCGGCTGGCGGGGAAGACGCGGTGGAGGAGTATGGCGACAAGATGGAGCAGGCCCTGCGGGACTCGGAACAGCTTCTATCGGAGATTTCCTCGGAGACAGAGGAGCAGACGCTTGCCTTGAGCCAGTATCTGTCCAGCCTGTCGGCCATCGACAAGAACACGGGCGCCACCGCAGAGGGGCTGACTCGGTGTGTCAAGGACTTGGACTCTATTCAGGCTCTGACCACGCGACTCGTGTCTCTCAACCTACAGAACTTACAGGGGCAGGATATTTCTTAACACCTCCAACAGTCTTGTGGCTTGAAGAATCAGGGTTGTCAACTGTTTTGAATTTCCCGGGACTATCCCTTTGGAACTATCTCATCCCTATAAAAAGAGCTGCAGAGCTGGCTTCCCATGCCAAACTGCATCCATCTCCCCTGGACGCTGAACTATTTACAGCAACAGGGGGGTGAAAAGGTAAAAGTAAGTCCCGGATCTGGCAATTCTAGAGCCGTATCACATACACTCTAAAACCAGTCCCACTCTAGAGTAATTTTGTTTAGACATCTAATGACATGACCTTGGGTGTTCCTGATTGACTGGGTTCTGAAAAAGTTGGCCAGCGTGGTGGTGGCTCAGGACCCTGGTTGGTAACTAAACTAGTTGTAACACTAACACAGTTCTGCCTAACAAAAGATCAAAGAATTGTGTTCACTTTTGTTGGAAGAATGTGGGTTGGATACAGAATGTACCAGCATCTGTGGTGTAGTGAGACAGGCGCTTTGCCGTTGCACACAGGTGGGAATTTGATTCCTGAATGGAGGGGGGGGGTTACGGTGATCTCAGCCTCTCACCGCTGGGATGCTATAGTTGTATCCTTATCCTTCTCGGCCTCGGCGAGGGTTGGCCTTGACTGGCAGGGTCAAAGCCTGCCTCCTAAACAGATCTAAAAATTGTGTCGATGGGGACGTCAAAAAGTTGGATGAGTTTATTTGACCACTTTCCACAAAGCGAGTTTTCTCGTCACTGGTCCAAATTGGGGTGCTTGTAGGAGACAAGTGTACTTGTCAGCTGTCGCTTAAGTGTTCATTTACCGTGGTCTGGCCCACCTGACATTACCAGGAACTCGGCAAAAGTCGGAGATTTAAAAAGATTGATAGCTCATTTGTTGATCTGCAATTTTCTTTTGATATTTGATATATTATATTATGTTTATGTTACAATTGAGTTCTCATTCAGTAAATAAAACAATGCTGCAACTGTATTTAACGGTTGAAGGTGTATGAAAATGAAGCTAAAATTTGTGACTAGTGCTATCTTTTCGAGTGCTGATTACAGATGTATTTCTCTCTTTTGGGGCACGTATTTTAACATGATTTTTATCTGAATCATAAAATTCTGAGATCAGTTAAGGCTATCAGATTCATTATTTGCATCAAAGGCATGAAAAATATTCTGTTTTTACCTCATTCAACTCATTGGTAGATGTTTATGGGCTAAGCGTGCAATGATTAGTTTGTTAACATCAATCACTCTGATAGAGAAAATATTAACTTATCTTAGTCTGCTGTGTAGTAAAAAGTTCATGAGAAAAGGTAGTTTCTCACTAGAGACAGGGAGCTCTTACCGGTGTAAATAAAAAGTGAAAGTGTTCAGCTGACAATCAAGCAACAGATAGAAGCACCTCAAGAAGAGGTCGACCGGAGGATGAAGAGAGTATGATCAGAGATGAGGCAACAGACCAGTGGATTAAGAGAGTATGATCAGAGATGAGGCAACAGTCCAGTGGATTAAGAGTATGATCAGAATCAGAGACGAGATCTGAGGCAATCACCTATGGTCAGGATGTGCCGAAGTTAGAGGAAGTGGCCAGGGACAGAAGCGTGGCATCAACTGCTCTCTGTCTTGTGTACCTGACGGTACAGGGAGAGAGTAAAAACAAGATAATGCTTTATATTTATATTAATTTGCCAGAGTTTCCCTTTACTTTTTGAAAAAAATATGAATGTAAAACTGCTAGATCTAGTTTGGATATTGTCCTCAGTCAGTGATGTCCCCTGTGAGTTAAATCCCTCTGGATGTATGACCTGTTGTTGTTGTTTTTTGGGGTAGATAGAAATTGTCTGTTTTTTTAGTGGGTGTCGGTTTTTATTGGAGGGGGGGGGGGGGGGGTTGTTGTTGTTTTTCAAATGGTGCTCCCATCTCAATTTGACTGGTGTGTGCATGATTCAGATGAGCTCTTTTTTTTGTGTGTCCTTTGAGACAGTGGACTGTGAAAACTTCATGACAGGGTGAGGGGACGAATGAAAGTGAAAGAATGCACGAGAACCTACACAATGTTTCTGGTCTTCTTGGATTGTCTGTGGGGTGTATTTCAATCCCTCTTGGTCTTACCCTTCCCTTTTCTTGACAGAAGATTGATCATGAAATTTTACCACCTTTTATTTCTGATTTCCGGACGTTTTTCTGTAAAAACTATTATATATAGGAACTTATAATGCTGTATGTGTAATCTAATGTTTAAATTATTAATTTAAAATGCAGTAATGTAATATATTCCTGTTTTTTGCTCTAAGTAGCAAACAATCAGAAAACTGATGTCCAGCGTTTTCTTTTTTTATGCCCAAGTCCTTGACCTTCTCTCGCCGGCCTCTAACCCCTGGATTTGTCCCTGGACTTATCTACACTCGGAGTGGCTGTGGGTGTGGGGTAAAATGGTGTAAACATGTGAACTGTGTTTTCAGTACCAGACAACTTATTTTGCCCCTTTTTTTCCTATCAAATATGTGAGGCAGCATGGTGAAATCAGGCGCTCATCAAAACAATGAAATGGAATAAACTGGCATTTTCCCGCCAGTTTGGCTATTATATTGAATTTTTTTTTTTACGGCTCATCTTTTATGTCCATACAAGAACACATTTCTGTGTGGGTTTTACTTGCTTAAAGACAACAATGTAAGTTTTCAGTTACCGGGGGCTCTATAGATATGGAAATAAACTTTGGTTGCCATTTTCTCACTAATTTAAACTCTGAAACAAGGCGACCTCCACCTCCTTCAATTGCGGAGATTTCGACTTCTATTCAAGATAAATGGGTATTTTTTTCCATCGAAAGCAAGACAAATGAAAAAGCTTTAAGATGAAATACCAATAACTCCACAGTCCCAAAAATTGACAAGCGCCTGATTCCACCACGTTGTGACATATATCGTTCTTATCTCCCCTCCTTCCTTTTTGTGCATGTTACAGTTACTCTCTTGTAGCACCTGTAATCATGAGCACTGATATGATTTAATTGTGTTGTAAGTGCCGTAAAACGTTTAGGCCTACTAAAAGAAAAGTCTACATATTTATATGTGTTGTTGTTGTTGTTGGGCGTGGTGTATGGAGAGATGTGCTTTTGGTGCTCACCTATTGCTGTAAAAATTTGCCATTTGTTTCACTTTTTTGTGTTGGTCGTTCCGGAGGTGGGTGTTAATTGGGAGGTCCTGCTTTGGAATGATCTGTCCTGTGTTCAAGTGCTATGATCATACCATGCTGGTCCCATCCCCCTTCCCCAACGTTGCGTCCTTGGGAAAGGCACTTTACACAAATTTTTCCGCTTTGCTCGGTTCTTTCGGGGATGGACATTAAGCTCAGAGATCCTGCCTCTTAAATTTATTAACATATTATAGTTTTGATAGGGGCATTAATAAACCTTCACCCATAATGTCACCATTTTCCTCCCTCCCTTGATTCCTGCACAAGAATATGTGAGGTGTGCTGACAAAATGAGTTACTTCTCGGATTTTAGCATTATGGAAATTGATACATCAACTTGATAGCTGAAGTTTGTGCAATTTGTGAGCATGGAATAGTAAAAGACACAGTACACTGAACAAAATGGCATCAATTGAAAATCTATAAATCTGACCCCAGTGTCGATTTTCAGCCGATATCTCCATTCTTGGATCGTGAGAAGTAACTCATTTGGTCAGCACATCTCACATGTGTTTAGAAGGTACAACAAGGTACTTATGACTTGTTATTTGTCTTAATCATTGAGCTCAAAACCTGATAATATGACTGATCTGTGATAATAGTATTCATGTGGTACTTGTTTATTATGTTTCTTTATTAACACAACTATAAGTGTATGATAAATGATGTGCTGTTGTCTTTACCGTTCTGTCCAGAAAGATGTAGGGAGGACCGTGGGGTGCTGGTTATAATAAATACCATGTACTTTCACTGTCAGGCTTCGTTCACTGATGTGGGCAGTATTGCTTACAGACGTATCTCAAAGGCCGCCAAAAATGACTTACACATCTGTATGCAATACTACCCGCGTGATGTGGTTCATTGGAGCATGTCGCTGGTAGGTTCTACTTCTGTTTTTTTCTGCTGTTTGTCTTGTCTGTCTTTTTCTCTGCATCAAAATCAAATGAGCGTTATTGTGTTGCTGTCTTTGTTTTTGCTAAAACAGTTGTTTATTTACTGGCCACGTTATACAGCTCTAACTCTTAACGCAAGCATCGATTACGGGACACAGTCATTTGTTACAGAACAAAAATTTATACTGAAATTGAAAGAAACAACCTCTATGTATTGCATCATGGTGAAACCAGGCGCTCATCGAAATAATGAAATTGAAGAAGCAGGAATTTGTTTCTACCCGTTGGGCAATCTTTAATGGGGGGGGGGGGGTTGTCTTTTCTTTTTTTTTCTTCTGAAACGCCTTTTATCTACATTTAAAAACACATTTGTGTGTTGATTTTATCGATAAACATTTAAGGCATTTAAAAAAATGTAAATTTGCAATTTTCAAGGACTCTCAAGCTTTGGAAATCACAAAATTTCGGCAGCCATTTTATCACTAATTTTACCTCTGACACCAAACGACCCCCATCTCCTTCAAATGCAAATATTTCGCCTTCTTTTCCGGGTAGATGGGTATTTGTTTCACCAAAAGCAAAACAAACATCTTTAAGATGAAATGAATGCCTCCATAAGGGTCCATATGCCCAAAAATTGACAAACGCCTGATTTCACTACGATGCCTCGTGTGTGTTGAGGGTGTCGGCCATTACTCATTACTGATTAAAGTGGACCAGAAACAAAAATGCTTCAAGTGCTGATTTGAATTTTGATAAAGTGGTCACTTCCTGTGACTCTTTCTAAGTGAAATATAGATCTGTTAGCTCTACCATAATGTAAGAATGTTGAAGTTTTGAATGATATTTTTCTATTTATCTTGCAATGTTTATGGCGATAGTATCAAGTGCCTAGGATACATAGGCCTATATCTTTCACATCCTGTGTATTTCACTCACTTTCACTATTTGTTGGCATTATATTATATAAGTTATTTGTTAAGTATGTTCAGCTTTCAACTTTCTTGCTACTTAATTTGCACGACTAAGTTTGTTGGAGGTTTAAAAATATGTTATTTTCGTATTTTTATCTTACAAAGTTCATGCAGAAAGCACCAAGCCCAAGAAATTGTAAATCACATTATTATGAGTACATGTTTTCACTGACTGTTTTGTGGTTACAAGTTACAGAGATCTAAGAAATAAATTACAGTAGAAATTGCTCCAACTTTAACACCAACTTGGCAAGAACCCCCCCCCCAGCTGGGTTTTTGTTTTGTTTTGTTGTTGTTGGGGTTTTTTTGGTGCTATGAACAGCTGCTTGTATTATGGGAATGGTAAGACTGAGGGCACCATCGATAGTTGTTCTTTTTGTTCCCTCTGTTGTTTCTATCTGTCTGTCTTAGAAGGCTATTTATTTACTACTCTTTCTCTGCGCAAAATAACGGTTATTGCGACGACATGCTTTGCTTTACTCAAACGAACAAATAAACAAACTGTTATATGAAATGATACTACGACTTCCAGTTTGAACATAAGGAATGGGGATTGAAATTGACAGGAGTTTATGTCCTTGTTAGTGTTCGCAGGTGTGAATTGGTCACTTTTAAGGACAAGCGGGCTAACCCAGATTTCGGGGGTTTCCAAAAATCTTGACCTACACCAAAAGTGGGCATTGCCCTACCTATAGATCTAGGAGAAGTTTTGTTTCATTGGTGTGTATATTTGTTTGGTTATAGAGAAAACTCTCCTTGTCTTTTAAAGAAACTGAACAAGGGGCAAATACTTTACCTTCGATTTTTCTCAAACTCAAAACAACATTTTTCGGGATAGCCCCCTTATGCGACCAATTTTGCAGTGACTCTGATCGTAATAGAACTTATCAAATTAACTTCAATCTTGTAAAATTGTTGAATCTGAGTGAATGCGGTAGGCTTTTGTTTCTGCCTGTCAGCTTTGCAATTTTCCTTACTTAAAATGACCATTATCTTGTCATTTTGCTTCTCTTTTCTCAACAAACTCCAACAAAACGAAAAGAGAAAAGGCACTGAGAAATTTGAGGGTGCTAGTTTTTTTTTTCTTCCCAATTTATGAATACTGCCCTAGTTCTTCGAAGACTTTTTTTTTTTCTGTTCGTGCACAGCCGCTGTTGGTTTGCATCCAAAATAATGAAAGAATAGTTCTGAATTTTGAATTTGTCCTTAGTTTCTTCTTACCTCATGCACACAGTGAAATCAGCAGGATACTGAAACTTTTTAATTATTTACAAGTTTCACTTTGCACTTGTTTTAAATATGTAGTAGAGTCGTTAAAAAAACCCATCTTTGACCAGAAAATCTGTTTGCTATTGTACATGCAAGACTGTATTTAAGTACCATACACATGATACATTTGTACAAGCAGGTTTGTTTTAGCCAGTTTGTGTGGAGTTTCATTCTACTGTTGTATAAGTAACGTGCGATTACTTTTTTTTTTCTTTTGCTCTGTGATCTCTAGTCAAAATAGTCAAATCTCATTATTACTGCTTTTGATTTAGAGATGTAAGTTGCCAAGAATAAAAGATTTTGATACTTTGAACTCCAATATCAATCAGGCTTGAGTTATAAATTTGTATTACATTCATTATTTCTTTATTGTTCCTTTAATGGTTCTGTAATGTGTGAAGACAGTGTTTGTACGGGGGGGGGGGGGGGGGGGGGGGGACAGTCAGAGTCTATGGAAACATTGAACAGGAAGTCCAAAGAATTGACACAGAAACGTGTCACAGAATTCTTCAATATTATTTTGTTTCCAGTGGAGTATTGGGGTTGGAGCTTGTATTGGGATCCAAACCTAAAAATACAATTTAGAATATGGCCACATTCCCTGAGATTATTTTTGGCAATAAATTAGTTCTCTAATGCACAAATTGAGATAATGATTGATAGCATCGGTTGTCTAATGGTTAGGCTAGCAGACCCGTAATCATGAGACTGTCCCGTAATCCTGAGATTGTGGGTTCAGGGGTTCGAGACTCAGCTTGGTCCAATGTTGCGTCCTTGGGAAAGGCACTTTACACGAATTTCTCAATTTGGCTTTGTCCTTTAGGAGATGGACATTAAACTCGGAGGTCCCGCCTCTCAAATAATTAAACCTTATACTGTATTATTAGTATTGATAGGGGCTATAAACCTACACTATTTTCAGATAGTGACAACTTGGCATTGAACAGTTTAGTTGAATTCTTTTTAAATCAGTAGATTTGCTTCATAAGTATTGGCAAACGTGACATTCCCTGTTTGAGTTTTATTTGTTCGAAGTTTTGTTGAAATTTGTCCAAAAATGACCCAGTTGTTGCCCTTTGAATTTGAATAGGTTCTTTTTTTCTTTCTTTTTTTAAAGATACCCGGTACATATGTACTATCATCTATTTTTCTTAACTTTAACTACCATGCTGACAGTACCAACCATCACCACAAAATGTAGAATTAGAAAGTAGACAGTTAACTAATAATAGCCTACGTCTATCTGCAGCGTCTACCAGAATGCGCAACGTTGGCACAGGAAGGGGGGGGGGGTCGCGCGAAAGCAAAACCAAATCTTCCTGAAAGACCTCATTGTGCGTAATATATTGTTGAACAAGAAGAAGAATACCATGTTAATCCATCACGGCATGTGTGCAGTTGTCGATAAGTGATGTTGATAAGCATGCGTCCTCCCTGTGAGATCGATAGAGAGATCAAATTTTCTTCCCCAGGCAATCTGTTTCTTCCCCGTGTTTCTCACTGCTACTGTTACCGCCATTCATGCTTTCTCTGTCATGGTCGAGATTTAGATTTCGCTGAATCGTGGGTTTTATCGGGTTTTTGGGTGGGTAGGTGGGGAGTATTTTTGTTGTTGTTTCTGGGTTTTTTCTTTAAAGGGGGGGGGGGGGGGTGAACTGTCTTTAGAGTGCGTGGACAGTTTGTTTTTCTTGTTGGTCGTTTTGTTTGATTTTTTTGATTTTTTTTATAAAAAATTTGGTGGGGGTATCGTATGTGTACTCTTGTGTAGCCTATGAAAACGTGCATCTGTGTGTCATGTGTGAGTGTGTGTATCTACAAGCGTATGTTTGTGTGCGTGTGTGTTTGAGAGTGCGTGTGTATTGTGAATGCTTGTGTGTGATATGCGTGTGACATGTGTGAGACTGTGACGTGTGGCGTATGTGCGTTTTTAGAGAGGATGAGATGGGTTGCACATGTGTGTATTTTTTTTTTTAAAGCAAGAGTCGTTTATTCGAACGTTGCCTATTTTATAAATCTGTAAAGTTGTTTGTTGGTTGGTTGTTGTTATGTTGTTGTTGTTTTTTTTTGTTGTGGGGTTGTTTTTTTAGGGAGGGGGGGTTCTTTATGTAGGTGTTTTTACACCCATATCGACACACTCGATCCTTGAGAAGACGGGCTTCAAATCAACTTGGACCCCCCTGGGGCGGTGCCACTGACTGTAGTGTCTTTAGGCCATTCCCAAAGGGGGGACATTTCTCATTCAAGCGCAGTAGAATTGTAAATGGGCTGACTCATGTCACGCTCATAACTGTGCGTGATCTACAACAGGGAACTGCTGCTTTTTCTTTCCTACTCGTTACTATTGTCATTTTCCTCTACTTCTTTTGTATGTTTGTTACTCTCTTGTGACCCGCTATTTCCGGGGTTCCTTGATAGTCGAAGCAGACTTTGTGCTGTTGAAGCTAGAGAGGTGAGCAGAGTAAGTCTGATTCCCTGTAAGGACTTCCCTGTTGACATCCACCCCTTGGCGCTCATATGACCTTATGCAGTTGCAAGCGCCGTAAAAAAAAAACCCTCTACTATAAAAAAAATAAAAAAAATCAACCTGGGCTGAGAGGAATACAAATTCCTAGCAAAAAGACCGAGACACTCAAGAGATAATGTTCCCCACAGGGGAATCCAACTCGGGTCTTGTGCGTGCGACGGCAGAGCTCCTTACACTACCCGCTCCACCACCACCACGGACGCCCCTCTGGCCTCTGAATGTGTGTGCCGTTCTCTACGGTGCTCTTTCTGTCTACTTACTTGTGGTGTCGATGGGTTGGTCCAATGAAAGGGGATTTGCTTCGAAAATGTTTGGTCGTTTTTAAGGACAAGCGGGCTAACCCAAATTTCGGGGGTTTCCAGAAATCTTGACCTACACCAAAAGTGGGCGTTGCACAACCTTTAGGAGAGGTTTGGTTTCATTGGTGTGAATATATTTGTTTAGTTATAGTACAGTACTTATAGAGAAAACTAGAAAAAAGAAAACTCTCCTTGTTTTTTAATGAAACTGAACAAGGGGCAAAACCTTTACCTTCGATTTTCTCGAAACAGCATTTTTCGGGATAGCCCCCTTGTGCGTAAAAGCGAGCATTTGCCCTGTAAACTTGGCCCGGTGACGTGAACTGACCAGGTTAACCCTTGCTTGCACAAGAGACCGTAACTTGACTGTCCTACAATCATCAGCTTGCAAAAGATAGTCTATTGTTAGCCACAAGAGATAAGAGAAAATTCTCGCGATTTTGTCGAGCTGATAAGTGGTCGTCCGAAAGTCAAAGGTCGCGCTCTGGGTGAGATAAACTCGTGTTGTTATTTGTGCATTGTATTAGGGAGAGTATGGGGCTCGTGTGGTCAAGAGGGTACAGTGTTCACTTCTCTTCCAATACGTCCAGGTTTCGAAACCTGACAGCGTCGGAAAATTTTCTTCTCAGTTAAAAAAGTGTATCCTTTCACCTCCTTAACCTTTCCTGCTCTACTGTGTTCTGTTGTCTGCGTTGGTCTCCACTTTCTGCCCCATTCTCACTCCCTCCCCTCTTTCTACCGCTACTCCTTGGCTCCTTCTTACTGTTGTCTTTCTGCCACAACCTTGATCTTCTGGTAATAATAATAATAGATAGCATTTGTATAGCGCATATCCCCGCTCAGCAGCAGGCTCTATGCTCTTTACACTATATTATTACCCCAGCAGACCATAGAACACTCCGAAATATTCTCAGCTTCCCGGGAAGCATACAGTGCGAGCAGCCGATTAAGCGCTCAAACACTAACAAACTGACAAGATCTTTCGCTGTCTATAGCCGGGTACCCATTCCCACCTGGGTGAAGTGAGGAAAATTCGTGTAAAGTGCCTTTCCCAAGGACACAACGTCGGGCCCTTGACGGGATTCGAACCCACGACCTTACGGTTGCGAGTCCGAGAGCCTAACCACTAGGCCACCGACGCCACTACATCTTACATCTGGCCTTCTCGGGTAAGGGTGAAAGATCTCGGAGGTTCCGTGTACAAGTTCCGCACATTAAAGATCCCTTGGTGGTCAAAAATTTGATAAGGAGTAGACGTCAGCCGCCCCCCGGGCGAAATTCAAAATTAATTCTAACCAAAATGAAAATGCTTATATAAATAAATTAATGTGTCCTGCACGCTCATGACCGAATGCAGTTGCACGCACCGTAAAACACACAAAACTAAGGGGGGGGGGGGGGGGGGGAGGACACCAAAAAAATGCGTACGACAAGTGATACGCGCCTTTGTTATTTACTGCTACACAACAGACGCCAGTGGTTGTTTGAGTTTGAGGAGACGAAATAAATCAAACCTAAAGTTTCTCTGTCCATCTGGCCCAGTCTCATCGGAATCGGAGACATGATACGGTACATCGACGGCTGGTTCTAAACTATGATTTAATTTATATAGGTCTACATGTATTGTAGTGTAAAATGGCGGAGAGATGGTGTTTCTTTTTCTTCACGTTGTTTATATTTTCTGGGGGTTTTGTTTGGGGTTGGTTTTTTGTTGTTGTTTGTTTGTTTTGCTTTTATTGTTGGGGTTGTTTTAGTTTCAGCTTGTTTTTGTTTAGTCGTTTGTTTTTTATTGGAATTTCTCTCCTTTTTTGTGGTTTGTGTGTGTGTGTGTGTGTGTTTGGGGGGGGGGGGGGGTTCAAAGAGGTGAATTGTAGTATACAAATTCAAATTCGTGTCTCTGGCATCATTTTACGTCCTCTTTCCCGCTCCAGCGCTTTCGCGGCTTTATGGGAAAATATCATCATGGTGGATAAATCCGATATAGGAAACATGAGAGCACTAAAGGTCAATGATATTGACGTCAAGCAATCTCGTGACGTGAACGCAATATATGGATACGTCACGATCATATGGGTAGAGGAGAAGAATCAGCCAAGGATACACAAATTGCCTACAGCTGTCTTCTCGAGAGCTCCACAGTCACGACAGGTAAGAAACAGATTATCATAGCAATAGCATCAGCTTAGAATGACTTATACTTTATTATTGTCCTCTGCACTTGGTTGGCAACGTTGAGGTAGAAAATATGAATCTTTTTGGAAAAAAAAAGCACAATCAAAAAGAAAGAAGAAAAAAAAAAGCTTCCCGTGTTCCCTTGGGAACGTGGTCGTCTTTGTAAGTGACGTATGCATTCTACAATAATTTAAAGAATGGAACTTAAGTAAAAGTTGCACCTATTGACCTGGACTTAGACTACTTTTACTTCAGTTCCATTCTGTAAATTATTGTACGTTGACTTGAAAGTCTGTTGGAACGGTGCTTGTTAAAAAATATAGAATCTAATAATGATATAATAATGATAATGCGCTAGCGCAAATTCCAGCTCAACGGCAAGCTCCATTCACTCTACAGTTTGTTTTGCTGTACAAGAGTTTGGTGAGGCCTTTATTGGAGTATGCACACTGTGTTTGGCAACCCTTTGAAAAAGGACTAGATTTATGTAGTGAAATCGAACAAGTTCAAAGGCGGGCTACCAAAATGCTGAGTCACCTCAAAGAAAAGCCTTATTCTGAAAGACTGAAAAAACTAAAGCTTCCATCCCTGGAACATCGTGGGTTACGTGGTGATATGATAGAAACGTGCAAGTACATCAAAGGCTACTAGATCTACATCCCCGAAAGACCAGCCCTTTACAAAGGCAACAACCACACAACTCCGTGGCAACTCAGAGAAGCTCCAGAAGCAAAGAAGCAGATTGTGTGTGAGGGCAAACTTTCTTGAGAATAGAGTTAATAATATTTGGAACAATCTTCCCGAATCAGTGGTGTCAGCTCCAAACGTGGACACATTTAAGAGACGTCTGGAGGAATACTGGAAAGATCTCCCAACTACTGTATTTACAACCCCGCCTGCCAAAACTGATTGGTCTAGCCTGCACGCCATGCATTATTGTCGTTCATTACCAGATAGTTGAACAGGCTCTACTTAGAGCCTCAAACAACTAAATCGTCAATGTCAATGTCAATGTCTTGTGGAAAATGCAGTATGAATGTCAATACAGTTATTATTATTATTATTACTATTATTATTATTATTATTATTATTACTATTACTATTATTATTATTAGATCTATTATTATTATTATTATTATTATTATTATTATTATTATTATTGTTATTATCATTACCTCAGCAGACACGAAAGTAGCCTATTCTGAGATAATCTCAAGTTCCTGGGAAGCATAGTATAGTGCAAGCTGCCGTTTTTAAGACGCAAAAACGCTAACTCGTTGTCTATGGCCGGGTACCCATTCTCTTGAGATTGGGGGGAGAGGGAGAGGGGGAGGGAGAGGAGAGAGAGAGAGAGAGAGAGAGAGAGAGAGAGAGAGAGAGAGAGAGAGAGAGAGAGAGAGAGAGAGAGAGAGAGAGAGAGAGTTTTAAAGTAAACGTAATGCGCTGGCATTAAATTTTATTTAGATTAGCTCAATCATCTTCACATTATGATCGCCTATCAATAGAAGTAATAACCCGCCCCCCCCCTAAAAATTTGTCGAAGCCATGTTTTCACCATCTTTGGTAAATTCATAATTAGGCTAAATTTTGTTCTGCTGGCTGGATTTTATGAGATGACAGTATTTTAGTAGATCTACATCATCTAGATTTTCTAGATCTAAAATTACATTCTATATTATGTATTAGATTCTCTACTTGCCGTCAGTTTTGTAATAGGCCAACTTGCCGCATGGCCGCTTGCTCGTAACATCGCTACCTTTTCACATCAGTAGGAAACGTTTTATTTAAAACAGTGAGGCATGAAAATCATGATCTAGATCTAGATCTAAATCGAGAGACTGTTAGATTCTAGATCTAGTAAAGATTTAATTGCTGCGAATTTATACTGCATTTTCCACAAGAATAAATCTTTTTTGAAAGGCATCTAGAATCTACAGCCTCTGATTTATTATGGTGCTTGCAAGCAAATTAAAAAAAAATTCTATTTTTAACTCCCCGTTTTTCCCTGAACATCTTTTGTAGAATTCAATATTTCGCTTTTCGTTTCCTATACCGACGACTTATCATGATTCGTATTTTCAGCCGATAAAACTCACTAACGTGGCTGCGATTGACAGCAAGAACGCTACGACGTTAGGTAGGAATTCTTCACTGATTTGTAAATTATTTGCCTTAAAACTCTAAACTGTTTTTACAGTATGTCTTGTCATGTACATTGCATCCATTATTTAAAAGCGAACATTCGTAATTACTTATTTGCCTCACCGGAAAGTTGCACCACAGGTGCAAATCTCGAAGAAAGAAAACGTGGGCGGCGTGTGACCGTGCCCGGTGCTTAGCCTTGATCGTGAAAAGTTTGGTCACGCATTGTCACCCGCTCACCACTGTGCTCTAGGCCTAAGCTAAATCTGATTTATGAAAAGAATGAAACATACCCATTTGCTTTATTTAAATTGTAGTCTATATTGCTTTTTATTTTTCTAGTTATGTTTGTGTGACCTCTGTAAAGCTTCGAGACTTGGGAGTGAGGAAACTTGCAATGAGTATGAGCAGCAATGGATGCCTTTTGCCTTTTCTTCTAGGAATCTAGGCTACTACTAAATCTAGAAATCTAGATCTAGATCTAGATCTAGATTGTAGGCTAACTTAGACGTCTAGATTTAATATTTAGACTTAAATTACTCAGCTGCAGGGTTTGTTGAGGCAGAGGCCCAGATATGAATATTGCAACAGTGCATTGTATATTGTTTCATTCAGTTCAATTGTAGGACCAGGTTTCTCTTTCTTTTGACCTAAATTGTCATCACCCATTTTTATCAAGTCAAAAGTGCAAGGAAATGTCTGAAATGATGCTATGCTATGATGCTTATGTCTAGTTGTTGTAGAGTTCAAATAGATTCTTATAGATTAGTGGTAGCAGGGATAGAGCTAGATATCTAGATCTAGATCTAGTACTAGTGGTGATGAATCATCAAGGCATTGTCAATGGGTGTATGAAATTTTATTTCATTTCCTGGGATGAGCCTGAGAGTAGGTCAGTTGGTCTCCTGGGGTCAGGGACGCTTTTGGTGTTGATTTTTCCTCTTGTCATGGGCTTTTATTTTTTAAATTTTAGTGCGATCTTGCTGAGATCCTAGATTTAGACCGGGAGTGGTAAGATGTAAGAATAGCGGACCGACTTTGCCTACTATGTCTCAACCTTAGGAGTTCATAATTTTCCCGTTTTTAATATCTCTCAATAGAGAATTTCGGACGGGTAGATCTATTCATT